GATGTATTTACAGATTAGTTGGGATGTATTTACAGATTAGTTGGGATGTATTTACAGATTAGTTGGGATGTATTTACAGATTAGTTGGGATGTATTTACAGATTAGTTGGGATGTATTTACAGATTTGCAACAATCCCATTTTGTACAGTTTGTTTACTTGCTGATTCTGCTGCTTGACGTTTGAACTGTGTTTGGTGAATGTAAATATAGTTTCCATGAGATTTTAGCCAAGATTCTTATTTTTCTATTGATACCAAAACATGTTCAGGTTCAACTGACAGATCTGAAGTTAAGAGAAACAGAAAACAGGAAATGCTATTTTGCATGTTTGGCTCTGTCAGACTTCTTATAAGCAGACGATCTTGACGTTTGATGAGTTTAAGAAGCTCTTCTGTCTAAAAACGATGAACAAGCTGTGATAAATCAGCAGCTTACAGGCCAGCTTCTCCTCTTTGCTCAGCTCGGTCCATGGGCCTTTCTCCTTCTGCTTCAGGCTCTTCTCGGCTGCAGTCAGAACATCTTTGTAGGGTTTGTCTGGCAGGGGCGTGTCCACCCTGTCCCAGTACATGGGCCTGGACATGTCCATCTCCTCGGACACCTCTGTGGGACAGAACTAGAAGAGTTAGGACACTGTCTACATTTAATTTTTTTAATAATGAAGAAAAAGTTGACTTTATTCTCTTTTTTCCACTCAAACAGAGCAGCTGTTTAATGGTAAATAAATGTGAAGCAGCAGCGCCTCCTGCTGGTCACCAACATGTAATGCTGCTGATAGTTTTACAGAAATTATTATATAAAATTGGTTGATAATTTTTTAATGTTTTTCATTTTTTCTGTAACGAATTATCTGCAGTCAGAAACAAATAGTTGTAATTTATTACTCAGTTTATCAGTTGTAATTTAATCAGTTCTGTAAAAAGAGTGTAGAAACCGTACTGCTGTGGTCCTGGCTCTCCCTCCTCACACTGCTGCTGGTGGTGCTGGTGGTACTGGTGGTACTGGTGGTGCTGGTCAGGGCTGCAGCACGTCGAGCCACAACACCTCCAACACGAGCCGAGGTCAACACAAACATCTGGAAACAAGATTAGAAAAACGTTTGTTTCTTTATTTTATTAAACTTATTTAGTTTAATTCATCCATCCATCCATCCATCCATCCATCCATCCATCCATCCATCCATCATCCATCCATCCATCCATCCATCCATCCATCCATCCATCCAATTATCCATCCATCCATCGATCCATCCATCCATCATCCATCCAACCAACCATCCATCTATCCATCCATCCATCCAGTTATCCATCCATATGTCCATCCATCCATCCATCCATCCATCCAATTATCCTTCCATCCATCCATCCATCCATCCAACCATCCATCTATCCATCCATCCATCCAGTTATCCATCCATATGTCCATCCTTCCATCCATCCATCCATCCATCCATCCATCCATCCATCCATCCATCCATCCATCCATCATCCATCCATCCATCCATCCTGTTCCAGATTCAGGTCCAGCTTCAGCAGATGAACCACCTCAACTGGTTCTTCTTGATGTGAGTCTACTCATGTTAACCACCAGAGTCTGTGAGGGTGGGAACATCTCCTCACAGCTCTGAACCACGACAGACCAGCACAGAGTCCACAATCCTACTGGATCTGCTCTGATCCATCTGATGATCTGGACCTGTTCGTCCCTCAGTCAGGAACAAAACACAGATCCTTCAGTTTCTCCTGCAGGTATCAGTCTGCAAACATTCAGATGAAGTCTGGTGGCAGCAGCTGAGGCTGAAGCTGTCAGTGGATTCATCTCATTAAGATCTGTAAACGGGTTTCCTGGGTGGATTTCAGGTCCCTTCCTGTCAGCTCATCCTGTCCTCTTACAACACTACAAACAACACATGAAACAGAGCTTAACCTGGTTACAAATAATCTGATCTGAGCAGATTATTGACATAATTCAGTTCTCTGAAACACTGAGTCTTTGATGTGGCGTGATGTGGACCAGGTGCTCAGATCCAGATCTGTGTTTCTGTGTCGCTTTTCACACCAAACACAGCTGAGGAAAACAAGCTCAACACTTCTATAACTCTGGGTTTTACTACAAACATTAATGTTTCAATAATCGGACTGCTTTTTCTGAGCTTTTTGTTGTCATTTTCTGATTTTTTACTTATTAAAACTAAACAAAACTAAAACATGGAGCAACAGGAAGCTGCAGAAGTTGTCTGAATGTTATTTTAATTTGACTTTTTCGCACAGATTCAGAGGTAAACCTGTTTATTTAGCTCTTATTTAATGACAAACTAGAATTTGCTCACAGTTCTAATTGGATTGAGCTGAAAATGCTTTTCATGCATCAGACAAAACCTGCAGGACGGAAAAACTGCAGAGCCTTTCTTGTGTTTCCATTTCTGCAGGGCTGCTTGTTCTCTGCAAGGAGACAAATCTCAACAAACTGTCTTTCCATGCTGCTCTGTTTCTCTGTGGATGAAAGAACATCAGCTGCTGCTTTCATGCTTCAGCTGTTAAAGCAGAGTTTTCCCACAACTTTCAGCTCAGATAGTTTCTGTCCTTCCTGCACGTCCACTTGGGATTCAGCAGACTGTGTGTTGGAGGAGGGGTGTCTATTTCTTAAATTCTCCTCCATCTGTTTGTGTGATGGGATGAGGACAGATACTCACTGCAGTCGCTGGATTCTCAGGTGCACCAAAGAGCAGATCCGTCCAGGAAACACCTGTTTTTCCTCCTTTTTCCTCCTCTTCTCTTGCCTCCTCAAGCTGAGCAGGAATCAACTGGTGGGCAGGGGACCAAGGCTGCACTGAAGGGAGGGAGGGAGGAAGGGAGGGAGGAAAGGAGGGAGGGAGGAAAGGATGGAGGGAGGGAGTGGTGAGAGATCCCTGTTGGACAAATAAATAATCAGGCAGAGCTGAAAGGCCTCACAGGAAGAGAGAGGGCCTCAGAGTTTGTTTAGTCAACAGAAATAAAACAAGATAAAAGATCTTCTCTGTGAGAAATGTTCACTCTGACATTTACTGAAGCTGCTACTGACTTCCTACAGCTACAAGCTAAAGAAAAAACAGCTAAAAGTAGCAAAATGCTTGCTAGAAACTAAAAAGTATCAGAACGACAGCTAAAAATAGCAAAACATTAGCTAAAAGTAGGTTAACTAAAGAAAATAAGTAACTAAATGCTGGCCAGAAGCTGCATGTTGCAGAATGGCTAAATGTAGCAAAAAGCCACCTAAAAGTAAAAAATGTGCTAGTAGTATCTCTCTCTCTCTCTCTCTCTCTCTCTCTCTCTCTCTCTCTCTCTCTCTCTCTCTCTCT